GTGTGAACAATGCTCCGTCCTCTCGAAGACGCGTGGTCCCCATGGCATCAAACCGCTGAGGCATGCAAAACACGAGTACCCCCCCCTTCCCCCTCCGCCCCGGAGGCAACGCATTATGGTCCCTCCTCCCTCCTTACTCTCCCCCCCCCCCCCCCCCCCCCCCCCCCCCCCCCCCCCCCCCCCCCCCCCNTCTCCCCCCTCCTTACGCTCCGCCTTTTCCCTCTCCTGCTCTGCCGCTGGCGGCTGGGTCACCTTCGCGAAAACACCTCTCGGAGGTCCACCTCCTGCCCCGTCCCGTCGCGGTCCAGCTTGAACACGACGCGCGTGCAGCCGAAGAGCATGATGTCCGAGTCCTCGGTGATGACGGCGTCGACGTGGCCGTTTCGGGCGAGGAATCCGAGCTGCGCATCCGCCTCGTACGGAGCGACCACGTACCGCACGCCGGAAATCCGCTTAATCACCTGTTGTTGTTGTTGTTGTTGTTGTTGTTAGTGTTGCGTTGTTTTGTTCTTGCCCACGTGTGGAGACCACCTTCATAAAGGTTGGAACCCCCCAAACGTCTGTAACCCTCTTTTCCATAATGGCGTCGACGAAGAGATGTCAGTGTGTCTGCTTTTGGTTGCAAAAGACACGGGTTCAAAACCCGCAGTTCACCTAATTTTCTTCCGAAGTACGGAAAAAAGAAACACGGTGGGTGGGCCAAGAAACGATGCACTGTCTATCGAACTCGAAACTTTTGGCAGTGAGTGGCGGAAGTGGCGCACCCGCCCACACGCACAGAAGACTGTTGGAAAAAAGGTGGTTCTACTTGCCGCCAGCCGGTCGGGTTCCGGTTACCCCAAGAAGACTTCTCTTGCCTAGCAAACAAGAAGAAGCCTCGAAAAAGGGGGGGGTAATGTGGAGACCACCTTCATAAAGGTTGAAACTCCCCAAACGTCTGTCGAGGACGAAACCCTCTTTTCCACACACGCGCGGATACTTTTGTATCAAGGGTTCCGGAAGCCTGAAGTTGTCGTTGTTGCTCCACATGTAAGCACTCGAGAAGTTAGCGACAAGTGTGAAGACTATCAAGGCTTGATCTTCGTTTTCAAGGGTGTGTGTGTGTGCGCGTGACATGTGTGACGGGCACGATGATGCTCGTGGCGCCACAGATCGCACACCCCACGCCTCCCCGAGACAGGCAGGGGGCACCGTGTCAAGGGACATCACACAACACAACGACCAAGACAGAACACAAAGAAACACCATTAATGATGGTTATAAACATGGTAGCTTTCATCATGACATCTTTCACTGGTCACGCCACGAATGATAGTAGCTAAATCATCCTGGCATCTTCATTATTGTACATGCACGCGCCTGGATAACCTGGTGCGCCATGAAGGGGGTCACGTCGGCGGCCTTGAGGAAGTACTGGTGCGCCCCCGAGGGATTTCCCTCCCTCACCAGCTGCATGCCGCGCTGCAGGTTGGACTCTCGCCTGGCCCTCCGCTCTTCCTCCTTGCCCGCCTTGGCGGGAAGGTGCCCTCCGTCGAACACCAGGTAGGGCTTCACCCCGTGACTCAGGAGTAGGTGAACCCTGTGAGGGCGAGGGGGGGGGGAGCGTACTCTTATGTTTTGCACGCCTTGGCGGTTAGACCATTGACCACGCGTCCTCGAGAGGACGGAGCATTGTTCCCACAGGACCGATCACCGATGGCCAATCGTTCCTTTCTGCTTTGCCCAAGGTGGCTCAAAAATGTCTTCCCTAGTCTGTCTATCCTAACGATATCTCTTCCCGCCTTTTCAACCCATCTCCTATGCCCCAGTACAGCTACCGTCCTTTCCTCTCTATCCCATGCCTCAAACATCTCCCTGTACGTCCAATCTATTTTTCCCAGCTCAGTCACGTACACTTCCCTCTCCTTGTTGTACAACGGACATTCCGCGACTACATGAACACGGTCTTCGCATTCGAAGCCGCAATCACATTTGAACTCGTCGTCTTCGTCGTCTACTGTCCTATGTCTTCGTCGACGTTCTCGAAGGCCTATGTCCCCAGTCCGGAATTTGACCTTAAGCTTTGTTCCTGCATCCATTGGTCCATGTAGGAAATCCTTGAACCCCATTAACATTCCGTACACCTAGACCCTCCTTATCCTCGGTTTCTTTCCTTAGATTCTGTTCTTCTCTCTCGGCACAAGCAACAGGTATCTTCTCCTTGAACCCCTTGAGACCCTCCGTTTCCAGCGTTTCATCTTCGTCGATGTCGAGCCCCTTCCATACGTCCTCTACAACCTTGACCCATTCCGTGGCTTGTCTGCCCCTCTTTTTGTTTGCCCACTTCGCCTCTCATACAATTCTCGGCAACCTCTCTTCTCCCATCCCGAACATGCGATACTGCCATGTCAGCTTCCTCGCGTCTCGTCCCGACCGTAGGGATTGGATCCCCCATTCTGCCCTGATGGCTGCATCACTTGTGCGCTTGGAGCATCCTAGGATGGTTTTCGCTGCTTTCATTTGCGCCGCCTCGAGTTCTTTCACTANCTTCCGGACTGCCTCTACGACTTCCAACAGATCGTCGAGGGGGGGGGGGGCAGGGGTACTCATAGTCGTGCATGCCGTAGTCGTTAGACCATTGAACTCGCATCTCTACAAAGCCGGGACGGAGCACGCCGGGTTCTCACCGGACCAGGCTCTCACATCACCAAGCGCGAAGCGCCGTGAGATATTCGGCGAGTCGCATGAAGGGTGCGCTGCATCCTGCTAAGGGTGTTCGGCATCTTGTGCTCACTGCCTTGCATACGGATGACAGCTGCGTATGACTTAATTCATTTTCTGGTGCTNTCTGCAAAGCCGGGAAGGAGCACGCCGGTTCTCACTCTTACCGGACCAGGGTCTCACATCACCAAGCGCGAAGCGCCGTCAGGTATTCGGCGAGTCGCATGAAGGG